TCTACATTGCAAATCGCGATTTGATTACACGGTCTCTTCAGCTGTGCATGGTTGTTCACTACCAATACGTCACCTATACGAAACTATATCTTACCTGAAAAAACCACCGTGACGTTTCAATCTTATTTTACCCCCGCTGATCAGGACCCATCAGTCTCTGAGCGTCTTATACCACTGCGTTTGAAAATTATACGCAGTTCGATTGATTGTCATCGTTCCTTCCAATCGGACAGAGCTCTTCAGAGTTTATCTAAGAATCCCAGAAAGATTCATGTCCTGAGCAGCATCAAATTAACCACAAAACTGCCTGAGAAACATGCTTTCAGGTCTAATGAATGGTTTCATCCAGTTCAAATGACAACAGTAGTTTGTTCTGCTAGCACTGAGTGGAACAACTCACACCACAAACACAACAACAACAACCAAACCCAATGTGAATTGTTCCACATCCACCGATTTCGATACTGAGCTGTGAACTGACCTCTGACCGTCAGCCGCTCCCGTGGAATTCTTCAGAAACTACCAACGTCCTTCTGCCTTCTTCCTTTGAAAGAACGACCAGATTTACATTCTCGAGCTCCTGTAGACGCGGACCAAAGGAGAGGAGGAACAGACGTTTCATTACAGTCTTTTCTTCATTAAAGTCTCCTCAACAAGCTGCTGCGTCACCACCCTTATAACGACATCAAACAATGATAGAAGAAAAAAGAGCTCTGTGTGTTGCGTGTGTGTGGTGTGCTGTGTGGCTTGTGTGCTGGTGTGTGTGTCTTCAAGGTGAAGAGCTGTCTGCTGCTCCCAAGCTCTTCTCCACACGTTATTACATGTCTGAGTCAACTGAGCCAGCATGCATGTCTGTCAGTTTGAACCCGAGAATCCGAGTCTCACTGGATGGGTGGCACAAGATAAAGCTTTTACTTCTTAAACAGACCTTTTTTGCGAATGGAGTTTGGTGTAAACAGCTGTGTGAGCAAGAAGGGGTTCTCGAACCATTAATACAGTCAGAATCAACTGAACGACTACCTTCTAATAATGAACCTTGTAAACAGCAGAAAGTAAGCGACCTTCGTACCGGCTCTCCCCAATGATTGCTCTCATCTATAGAGAATCCGGTCGATTTTCAAAATAAAATACCCCTTGTGGACTCCACCTCCTCCTGCTCCGTTACGAGATGATTTATTAAAAACACTGAAATCCAAAGTGTTCTCATGTTGTTGGTTATTTTTCTTCACACAGTGAAAAATAAAGCTCATTTGACGTTAGCATCGTTAGCATTTCTCATTGAAACCAACAACAGGAAGTCGAACTCACTGATCGGCTCGATTCCAACAGAAAGTCACAATAACGTCGAACTGAAACGTCATTTAGCGTTAAATGTTTGGTACCAACTGAAGTTAAAAACCTTTAAAAAAATGACAGAAAACATTTTCATTGAGGATAAATGCACTTTAAGAGTTTTTCACATTGAATTACTTGAATGTGTTTGAGCTGATGGAAGGAAGGAAGGAAGGAAGAAGGCAATGAAAGGTTTTTAGTAGCAGGGACGAGTTTCTACAGATTGTTTTCCTCTCCGGACGCACCAGACTTCACTCAGAAAAACAACGATTTTAGCAGCTATTATTTTAAAAGTATTTCTGCCTTTAATGGTTAAATCAAAGAGACAATATCAACTTTAAATTTAATTTTACATTTTAAAAAGTCACTTTATCACAAATGTGTCAATTGTTGTTTCTCTTATTAAAATATTACAGTAATAACTTGTTCACATTAATACATATTTTGCCCGTGTAGACTGATGTCGGAGAGGGAAACATTTGTACATTAAACTCGTCCCTTCAGCGGTCAAACGTCAGATAAAAGCACTTCTCAGGTCCGAGACTCCTTCCTCGTCCCTCCTGTTGCATTGATAAAAGTTTCTGTACGTCTCAAGGCATCAGTTCATTTACATACGTACATATTCACACAGAAAGAAAGAACAAGAACGAGTATTTGCTATTTAAGTTGCTTAAACCGGGTAAACTTTTAGTCACAGCTGCGTCTTCTTAAAGCGCGGTGGCGTATAAAGTAGCAAGCTAACGGTTAGCATACGGTAACATGATTTTTTAGAACAGATCTTCTCCTTCAATAGTGGTTAAAACACAAAAACCTTCATACGACGGCAACATCAAATATTGGCTTTATTCCAGTGTTTGTAGTATTTTACAGTTGGTTAGCATTCCTGCTCTCGTCGCAGTTAGAGTGTTAACATACAAGGAAACTGATTACAAATTAAAAATAAGCAATTACGGTAGAAAACAAATATTATAATAAATTGTGCAACTTTTAGTTTCTAAAACTACTTTAACTCACAACCACGACAATGAAGAGAAATTAAGCTAGCTGTAATTTCAGCCGAGTCATTGTCAAGCTAAATGCTAACAGCAGTCTGAATATCGTCCGTATGTGTTTGTTGTACTTTGTATGTGATGGTGAAATTATTTTATCACTGCTCTTGTACAAAAGTTTGGTAGCTAGTTAGCTAGTAGTTAGCATTAACTAAAGTGTGGAAAAAGGCCTCCGCATTAACAATTAATCCACTTTTATGTAATAAAACATGAACTTCAAATGACAAAAACAATATTTAAGAGAATCGTTAGCTGTTAGCATGACAATGACTCAGCTAGCCAAGTAGTGTTCTTCATGTCTGTCAACTATAACGTGGGTTTCCTTTAATGTTTCGTCAATTGCGATATAATTAGCCAATTATTAGCTAGCTAGGTCTTTCATTAACTTCCTTGACTGTAGTTATGAACGTTGTGGTGAACGAGCAAACAAACTGTTTGTTTTAAAATGTGACGATGTCCCGCTGTGGAACGACGGACTCATACTGAGTAAATATCTGTTGGCTGTAAACGCTAATATATTTAATTTAAAGAGTTAGATATAATTTGGATTGTTCCATGAAAAATGATCAGAACTTTTATTTACTTACAATGTAGAAAACACACTGATACCTAAATGACCAAATATTAATAAAAATAAAATAAAAATGTATTTGTTTGGACTAAAGTTTAATGAGGATGATTATTAATCTCAGAAACTATTAAAAAAATGAAATATTGTCTATAAGAACAAAATTCCTCCCAAATGTAAAGAAAAACATTTTAAAACTGTAACAATCAAAAAGGGATTTAAAGTCTAAAATAAATGTATAAATATAGATTTATTTTCCTCCTGTTTTATACAAATTGGAGACATTTTGAAGAATATTATAATTATAACCAAATATTAAATAAACTATTCGCTGAATCAACTGAATTTACTATATTTAATAAATGTATAAGTTGAGAAATACCCCGATATGATTTAATTTGGTCCTCTGTTCAGTTTATTTATTATTTTATTTAAAGATGTCATATATAATGTAATTAAGCAGTAGGAAGCGTGTGATCAATGTCGGAATAAACCAATATATTTTGCTTTGTTACTGTTCGTTACTCTTTATATATAAAGATTGGTTAGCTCAATGAAAGTGCACCGTAACCTCACTGGTGTGTTTGTAGTTTAATGATCAGGTTTAATACACTGGAATAAAGCCGTACAGTGTTACCAGCGTCATCGCCGCACTGAGAACACGTCCGTCTGTTTTATTATAAAAACATTCACATATTCAGGAAACTTTAATCTCCTCATGAAGAAAATAAACGTTCTGTAAAACACAGAAATAAAGAGTCTCTCTCCTGATTGGCCGGAGTTAATCACAGGAATGCATCTTTACGGCCAATCGGGGAGGAAGAGCGGCGAGTTAAATACGCTAATATATCGTTAACAGACACAAACACATTAATTATACACAGATGTACAGTTAGTGGATGACGACGAGGTTCTTGCATAAATCTGCAGCAGACGAATCTTTTCACCGCTCGGAAGCCATTTTGGCTCAAAACCGTTCAAGTAAAATGGAGGAAAACTAAACGGTACCTTTAAATTCAACACTGTAGCGTTTAGCGTTAGCATCATGTTTAGTTTTATTCTGAAATTCAACGCGGACCTTAAACCAAAATAAACCACCGCACATTAAAATGATTCAGATCGAGTTTGAACTCATCGACTTTCCTCCAAGTTTCGGCCCGTTAGCGACAGTCGTTAACGAGAGGAATTAGAGTTGTGCTAATTAGTAAAGTTGAGTATCCGCTACAGATCGTTAAATGAGTAAAAGTACGTAAACTTTTATTAAACGAATTGTCGTTATTGAATATTAATGAATATTCTGATGTTTCTCTTCCTTTTTTAAACGTGCAGAAACTTGGAAGAACTGATCGATTGATTGATCGATGGACGATTCAAACTCAATATCAATATTTCAGAGTTTGTGTTGTGCTTTCTCTCTCTCTCGCCGTCCGTCCTGCTGGTGTTCGCTGTTTCATTTAGACTTTTATTAAAATATCTCATATGAACAGGAAGCTGTTTACATGCGTTTCTTCAAAAAATATTGGGCGATTATTGATTAGTTTCCTCTGCAGACGGGAACCTTTATTCTGAAATTTAAACCATCAGGATGTTTTCTGTTCAAGGTTCTTCAAGATTTGAAGCCAAAAGATTCTGTTTTAATAAGTAAAATTGTTAGTTTTTCTTGTAAATCAGAGACAAATGTCTCCTTTCTGCTTCCGTAGTTCTTAATTAACTTTAATTTGCAGTGAGAACATTTCCTGGTGATCAGTTCAGTCACGTGTTTGTTAAAGATTAAAAAGACTGCGAGGCCTCGTTGAGTCGCCGTACGGGGACGAATCAGACCGATCAGATTCCCGTTATTACGAGATACAAACTTCTGTTAGAACAATAAACGCTCTCGTTATAACGAGTTCTACTGATCTGGTTCTTCTGGCGCCGCAGCAACACGCCGCCACAATATCTGAACATTAAAATTACAATAAACAATAACTGACCTCAGATGTCTCCGTTAGGAAAAAATTGTTGAATGTGAGGAAGACGCTCCATCGACTGTTCTGGTCAATAAAACGTTGTTTTTTTTTTTGTTCTTTAAATGTTTTTGTCTGAAAATTCTAATCAGGACTCGATACGTTTATCAGCAAATCGTTTACCTTCAGAACGGATCCATAAGTCTTTAAACGTGTCTCAGGATCAACCAAAGTCTGTACTGTCCCAGCTGCCCGCGAACGCCAGATCCCCAGATCAGAAAGAGTCCGACCCGAGTTCAGACGGACGAGATGAAAACAGAGCGGAGGTTGACGAGGATCCCTCAGAGCGGTGGCGGTGGCGGTCACATGATGCCGTTGGTGACGTACTGGAAGGAGTCGTACAGTTTGGTGGTTATTGATCGCATCGATCCGTCAACCAGCTGCTCAACCAACAGCTGCAGCTGCTCCTCCGTCAGAGACATGTGGAACCGCTCCTTCAGACCGCGGATGGTGCTGGAGCCATGGAAACACGGCAGGTGGGAGCCTGAAATATAGATTATTGATCAGAATAATTAGTTAATATATTATTAATATATCGGTTTGATTAATGCTTTAATAATGGGAGTATTGATTACTGATCAGGATCAGCTGATTGGTTACCTTGCTGCATGATCTCCACTATCTGCAGCACTCTGTCCATGTGCTTCCTGGCTGCTATCAGACCCTGAAGCATCAACATCTTATAGTAGATAAACATGTCTCCGTCCAGACCGCCCATCACCTGAAACACATCGTCATCATCGTCATCGTCATCAGACACCAATAAGGTTCATTAAAAACACAAACTGGTGTTTACTCACGTCGACGAACTCTGAGGTGAGTTTGAAGGCGGACGTCTCGAAGCCGAGGTTGCGAGGAGAGCTGGACAGGATGAAGCCGAAGTCGATGTGGATGATGTGACCTTCAGAGTCCAGCAGGATGTTCCCGTTGTGTCTGCAGAGACCAGGTTCATATCACAGGGAGCTACTGTTAGCCTAGCTTAGCACAAA